CGAGTAAACTTAATAAAATATTACCTGGAAAACTCGAGACAATATTGACCAGTAAAATTTAAATTATATTTTTTGGTAAACTTGCGGCAATATTACCTCAATATTTCCGGCTGAAAAAACTTGTACAAGAAAATTTACAAGTTCTTGTACATGTTCTTCAATGTACTTGTACATTTTCTTGTACATGTTCAAGTAATGTTCTTGTACCAGAACTTGTACAAGATCTTGGATAAGAAAATATACTTGTACAAGAAAATGTACATGTTCTTGTACATATTTTTTGTGCAGGTTTCATGAACAAGTACTTTTACATGAACACGTTTATGTTCTTGTACAAGAACATTTGTTTAAAAATGTTTTTGAAAAAAATTTAAAATTTTAATAAGTTATAATTATTAAGATTCTTCACTTATGCATGCTAAAAATTATTGCACAGCTGTAAATGCTTAAGAAAACTACTGCACAGCCTTTAAAGTTTTTAATTTTTAATTTAAAAACTTAAATGAACATGTACAAGAACATGTTCCACATCTGGTACAAGAAAATGTACATGATACCTGTACAAAAAAATATGTACAAAAAATGTACATTTTCTTGTCCAGGATCTTGTACAAGTTCTGGTACAAGAACATGTCTCAATTCCGGATGCTGAACTTGTTCAAGAACATTACTTGAACATGTACAAGAAAATGTACAAGTTCATTAATGAATATGTACAAGAACTTGTACATTTTCATGTACAAGCCGGGTTGAATTTTCAGGGATGCCATGGGTAAGGGAAATCATGGAAAAGTCGAGGAATTTTATGAAAAGTACTGAAAAAATATCAAATTTCTAAAAATGCTACTTAAATTATAATTTTTCAAATGTTAAATTCAAACTATTGCTTCTAAAAATTATTGTCTTACATTTTTATAAGTATTGTAGGCCTCGGATCGACTATGGAAAGAAAAAAAAGTCATTTTAGTCGATTTACATTATATGAAAAGTCCAAAAAGTCAATTTTTTTTTTTGAATTAATTTAATTAGTTGATAAATAGTTTATTATTATTAACAATTTGATATTAGAAATTAAATAAATTTATTAATTCCTTAATAAGAATTTTTCACAGAAATATTTTCAAGAATTACTGACAAATTTTCAAGATTTCAATTCAGTTTCAGAACAAATTGTGAAAAATAATTTAAAGTTCCATTAAAAAGAAGAAAATTTTTCAAGTCTGATTTACATATGTACATTATTTGAATTTAGAATTTTAGAAAATGTTTTAAATAATTAAATTTTAGAAAAATTTGATTGAAATATTACTAAAAAAAAAAAGTTGTAATGAAAATTTGTGAAATAATTGTAGGTATTTCAGAAGATTTTTAATTAAAATTTTTAAAATAATTGAATTTGGAAGAGTTTGATTTAAAATTTTTAGAAATAATTGAATTTCAGGAGATTTTTAATTGAAACTTTTATAAATTTAAAATAATGAAATTTTTTTTACAAATTTTAAACAGTAATTGAATTTTAAAGAATTTTCAACTGTAATATGTTCTAAATAATTGAATTTTGATGGAGTTACAATTAAAGTTTTTAGAAATAATTGCATTTTTTGAGATTTTAAAAATTATAATTTTCTTGTAAAAAAAACGTTAATTAAAAATGATTTAAATAATTGAATTTTTGAAAAATTGAATTAAAACTGTTGAAATAATTAATTAAACAAAGAATTATAAAGTTAAAAAAAAATTTTTTAAGTGAATTAACATTCAATTACTAATTTAATTAAAAATCTATTTATTTCCCTGAATTGTTAAAAATCTGTATTAAAGTAATTAAAAAAATTAATTTAGCGAAGAATTTTAAATCAAATTTTTATAAATAATAGAAATATAGAGAATTTTCAATTGTAAAATGTTTTAATAATTTGAATTCTCGAAAATCTTTATTAAAATTATTAAAATTAAATTATTCAAGAAAGAGTTTTATATACAAAGTTTAGAAATAATTGTATTTTAGAATTTTCAATTGAAAACTGTTTTAAATCATGTAATTTAGGAAGATTTTGTTTTAAATTATTTAAAATAATTGACTTTTCAAACAATTGAAGTTAATAAATTTTTTTAATAATGCAACTTTTTTTAAAAAGTCTAAAAAGTCGTGCAATCTAACTAAGGCCTGTTATTGAAAATCTCTTGAAATATTTTCATTAGGGTCAGGGAAAAAATTTTAATTTTGACTGGAAATCAGGGAAAACAAACTGTTATTTGTTTATCAACTCGGATTTTGAAACAATTCACTTGAAAATTTTGTTCCTTTTTAACACAATAAAAAATGGACTTTTTTAACCCCAAAAGGGTCTCTCTGACAAATTTCCACGTTTTTAAAAAGGTTATATTACGTATATAAAATTTATTACAAGAATGTCAGGAAATCTATGCGGAAATTCACGTGGAAATCCATGAGGATTTCAAGTGGATTGTTTCAAATCGCGATACGGATTTCCGCGTGAAAAAATCCACTCTGATTTTCTCACGTGGGTATATATATATATATATATGTATATATATATATATATATACTTCCGCCATACGGCATGTGGACACTTACTGCGAACACTGTTAAAAAATAAACTTCTACTTATATAATAAATATATATATTTGATGTCTCCAAAGAAAAATTACACCCGAGAAGTTGTCAACCAACTTAGCTTGTTTCTTACAGAAAGATAAACTTACGACTAGAACTTAATTATGATTATGACTGTAAATTAAATTAAATATACCAATTTTCATATTTCAAGAAACAGGATATATACATAACAAATTAAAATATCGTTTGAATTCATTTTTACATAATTTCTTTTCAAAAATTTTGCAAATCATGTTTGTTTTTGGTCCGTTAGTTAAATTTTATTATTTAATTAATAATTTAAAAAATTGTAAATATTTCTCTAAATTTTTTTTATATTTTTATATTAAATATTGGTCGAAATGTTAGAAAATTCTTTGATCTCTATATATGGTATATATCGATCTAAAATCAGTATCGGTCATCCATTCTATTCTCACGACTCTATTGAAAAATTATTTGGTATGTAATAGTAAACTCGGAATGCAGGTCGGGTGTGCCCCTTACATGTAGACAACAAACACTTTCTTGAAAAGACCACCTCCACTTTCGCCTTAATATTATTTTAAATCCTGTTTCTTCTACTGAATTTATATTATTTTTATTCTCAACCTTTTATTATTACTAAGTGAAATTACTATTAAGTGAAATTATCGTTGCTCGTAAGTATATGATTATTTTAAAATAAGAAAAATTATTATTTATGATAATAAAAATTAATAAATATAATAAATAATATAAAATTCAATGATATTTTTTATCTATTAATTATCGCATCATGGATAGATCTAATAATAAATATTTTATTTTAACCCTTAAAAAAAATCGAACCTTTTAGACAAAATTAAATAGATTTTTTGACAAAAACAGTTTCCATAATATAACTTTCCAAATTTTTTTCATTTGTACTTAATATATTCCATATTCAAGTATTCAGCTTCCTTGCAGAAAAATATCTACTTATCTGACATAACGGATCAATCTGTAACGGAATAATTAGTAGAAACTTGAAAAAACGTAATGATTGTACGAGATCCGAGAAAATTTTTGTGCTCGAGAAGCGTGAAAATAAATTCTTTCTTCTTGTACAGAAAGATTACTTAATATCAAGAAAAGATAAATAATGATATTTGTTTAGATATGCAAGATAATTAAAAACCATTTAATTTTGAAGAGATTATGATCTTAAATCTCAACATTAAAACAAAAGAAAAATTTGTTTATTCTTAAACCATTCTTCTTTCATTATTCTTTTTATAGTATCTAAATATTAACAATTAATCATTGAAATTATTAATTAATGTAATGTTTACAAATTCTGTTTATTTTAAGATTTTGAATAAATGAAATATTTTACATTATTTAGACTATAAACATTCACTTGATTGCCTTTTTTATAAGTGTATAAAGTAAGTTATTATTTTATTAAAAATTATGCATTTCAAATTGAAACATTAAGATAATTATAATTATTTAATTTATTTTGATATAATGTAGTAAATATAATAAATATATTAAATTACATATTATTATATATTAAATTATATATATTACTTAATAAATATATTAATATATAAATGAAAATATAATATTTTCACTCTCAGTTTATTCATTAAAAAAATATAATGCTTAAACAAAAAAAATATATAAACTCATTAATAAAGTAAAAATATAATACTTTCTTATATGATGAGAATGTAAAAATTTGGCAATTAAGTAAAGCAAAAGTTACCTACATTTTCTTTTTAATATAGAACATTGTGTCCTAGTTATTGTCAGAGGCGGATCTACGTTGTGTGTAATATAGCGTCCATACGATTTTTATACATTTCCCTAAATATGCGAATTTTTAAGGAATCAAATTTTCAATAAAATATTATACCACCAAAATAATATAAGGAACCCTTATTATAAAATTTTCTATATTTTTAAAGAATTCTAATATTAGTTTCAAAATCTATGTAATTATTTTCTCAGATGATAAAATCTTTTCAAAAATTCAAAAAAACCGTTGTAATTTCCTTATAACAGTTTTTGTTTTCTTTATTTCATTTTTCGACTTATCATGGTTTTAAAAAACAGGAGTATTTATTAATAGTGCTCGCACTAAACGTACCTCTTAACATCCAATTAGTAAACAAAGATAAAACTTTCATTTACCCCTTTATGAAAAAATAAAATTTTAACAATTTTGAAAAAATTATTTTCGAATAGTTATTGTAAAAATTTTTCAATAATTTTGAAGATTGGTAATAATTTTATTTCTATAAATGTAATTAAAATAAAATTATAATAAAAATATAAAAAATTAAAAATATAGTCTTTAATTTTACACAAAGTATATTGTGAATTTTTAGCAATGTGTCATATATCACTTACAATGTAATTGAATATGCCTTGATTGTGCCGCAAATTAATCCTTCCTTATAAAACTTTTTAATTTTTGGTAACCAATTCATTAATTTCACTTGAACGTATAACACAAGTCATCAACATCTATCATGGCAACCTAATATTTAAAAACAAAAATTTCTCACAGAACACTGATAATACATGGGTATTTTCGAATAAACGCACATGAGTTAGAACTGCTTAAGAAGTCCAAGTGACGGGAACTTGAATCACAGATTGAAAGTTTCTCTTCCGAGTACTCAGAATAAATAAAATCCCCTCCAAAAATATGCTATGCCATAGGAACAATCACTGACAAATGTGATTAAAAATATATGGATTTTATATTAGCATTGCTTCAATTATTTTTTTAAATAAAATTTTGCCCTATTGGAATTAGAAAATTTATATTGGATCCTACATATGATCATGTAGAGGATGATTTGTTAATAATTATTATTATTTATTATTGTTAATTAGTTAATTAAATTCTTTGCGTCAGTAAGGACATTCTATACATGAAGAATCTTACATAGAATAATATTGAGGCAATATAAACGGTAGATAATATTACCAATATTCATATTTCTCAACGCTAAATATTTACTCTAATTAAAATATTTAAAAAATGTTAAATATAAAAATGTTTCGAAATTTTCATCTCTAAAAGAATCTATCTCATAAGTGTGAATATAGCAGTTTTCATTTGTTGTTGTACATTCAATATGTTTGTTTACATTCAGAAGTGACAATTTTTAAAAACATTGGTTAGAAAAATTGAAGTAATATTTAAGGACGTTCTCCGAAGGCAGTGGTTTCCAAATAAAATGTAACTTCAATGTATATAGTTTCATAGCATTTTAAGAAAAAAAAGTTGAGCACGATTTTGATTTTTTTGGTTATTTTTGATGCGTAGAAGTTCAAAATTGGTGGTTCTGCGCATTTTTTTACCACGGCAACGTTGCATTTGCTGCTTATCGTGCTGTGTTCACTTTTGTTTACTTACGCAGTTTGTTTGAGTTCGTAATGTGTAGGTTAAAATTAAGTAAAAATGTCAACTGCAATAAATAGATTGAAAATCGGACTGTTTGTTAGTCAGAAGCTTGCAAATAGAAATGCTAAAGCTTTAGCAGCCATGGCAGCAGCCAAAAATCGTGACAACCAAATAACTGAAAATATCAGGAAAGAAATTGGTCAGGGAAAACGCATTGTCGATTTGTTAGAACTTGGAAAGAATTTAAGATCCTAAAAAATAACAATTAATTTATAAATAAAATGATACATTGAGTATATTTGATATTTGAACAGATTTATAAATTTTATTAATACTATATATTTTATAATATGTAGAATAAGTTTTATTTAAGTGTTTATAATAAATAAATAAATAAAACAATAATTATATTGTATGCTATTTTAATTTTCTCTAATACTGTTTGCGATGACTTGTGTTTAATTTATTTTATTTCATATAAATTATAAAAATAAAACATAACCTTGAAAATTAGGACTATCAATTTTTAACTTTATATGTTTTTACATATCCACATATTTCATAATTTTAGCATTGCAAATATATATCTTTAAAGAATAAAAATATTTTAAATAGTTCAAAAAATTATACTTTTATTGTGAATTATAATTGATACGTGTATTTATTTAAATGCTTTTTTTATTCAATATTCTAAAATTACTATCAGAAAAGCAAATAATAATTTTTCTATTTATTTATTTACATTTATGAATATTTTATAAAATATTTTTAGTGCACAAAAAAAATAAAGTATAATTTAGTGAAAAATTCGAAATTTCAAATACGCGATTGATTTGGCGCTATATGCAACGTTGTCAAGTCCGTGATCTCCCAGTTTGTTTACATTTCTAAAGAAACGGAAAATTCATTGAATTGCATATTTCAAACTAAAATTTTTCATAATTAAGTGCCGATTGATGGCATGAAACTTGAATCATATTTTTTCTCGTAACAAAATAAACCATATACTAGTTTTTTAGAGAATTTCTAAGAAGACTTTTCCAGCAATCTCCAAAAATGTCTCTAAATCATAACCTTCAGGTATGAAACGCATGTAAAAGTTGAAACTTTGAGACCAAATATTACAAAATTTAGTCCCGATTCGAGTATTGAAACTTTACCAACGTGTCAAGCAGGTTCTAATTAACTTCTAAAAAAAGTTTCAGGAAAATTGTAAGAAAAGTGATTCCTCGGAGAACGTCCTTAAAAAAATATAGGGGAAAGGTATGTCAGTTCGCCCAAAAAAAGTTTAGAGTATAAAAAAAGTTACTAAATTTTAATGTTTGAGTATAAAAACTCTTTCATAGTACAAAGACAACCTTCAGAAATAAAACAGAATAGTTATTTGAATTGTCTTTTAATGAAAATATTAAATAAATTGTAATTAAAATATCGATGGTAAAAATGAAGAATTGATCTGAGGTGCGGGTAAGTTTGACTACGGAGGAGGGTAAGTCTGTTTCTTCCAAAAAGTATGAATAAATTGAAGTAAATGTGTCAAATTTTTTTGTATTTGTTTTTATTAATCAATAATCTTATGAATGTCTTAAAAATTAATACTGTATTATAATGAAATATACATTTTTTTGTCAAATTTAATTTTTCAATCAAAACTAGTTTTTAAAGGAGGAGTAAGTAGATTCGTAAAGTACGTAACTCTCAGAGACAAAATGCGCATGCGCGCTTATTTCAAATGTTTTTCTTTCTCAAAATATTTAAATAATTATTTGTTATTATAAATTTATTGAATTATGCACATTTTCTATTAAAAGATTTTTAGACATGAAAGGAAGAATGAATGCGAATGACAGTGAAAAATATAATTCATTTATTAATATTTAACAATGTGTAAATAACATTTTTAGTATTGGACGAAAAATCAGATTTAACAATCATCTATTCTGAAAAAAATATTCTAAAAATCAGATTTAACATTTTTCTATTCGGTATAAAATCTTTTAAAACATCACATTTTAGATAGGTATTGTATGTATATAATTGAGGTTATGCATAATAGTAATTTTCTTGATTCTGCTACAATAAATGAAAATTAAAAGCGAAATAAAAATTTAAATAATAAAGTATAAATAAAAATATACTTGTTATTGCAGCATGAAATTAAACTATTATTAAATAATTACCTGCATTTGTAGAAAGCTATCAGTTCGTCTTCTGCTGCATGTCTCTATATACATTCTGAACAATTTGCGCATGTCCCGTACCTAACTTACGTATCTTGCTTGCGCGACTTGTGATTTGACGAACTTGCCCGACATTAACAGTTTAAATATTTTATTACTTATTTAATTTTACAACTTATTTTTAATTTTCAAAACATGATTTTCATAAAGTGTAATGTTCCAGAATTATAAAAAAAAAATTACCAATTTCTATGAATAATAAATACGTTTTTCCAAAATTCAAAATTGAAAAAATTTACAATTAGAAGCATCTTTTTCATACTTGTTTAATATTTTTGTTAATAACAAACCGATTACAATAAAACTTTTTAGACACTATCGTTACCATACAATACTCCATTCTTAAAAACGGTTATACGTAATATTTATTTTTAAAAAAGTTATTTAGAAAAATGAACTTATCCACCTTTCCCCTATAAAAATATCTGAAAAAAACTTTCTATTTAGTAAAATTCAGAGGAATATAATTTTTATTATACATGTTTTAGTAGTCTTCAATGTTTTTTTTTAAGTTAAAAATTATTTATGCAAAGAAAATTTTGTTCCTAAGTACATTTCGAAAACATAATATATCTAAAAATAAAAGGTGTGCTTGCAATTTTAAAATGTTTAGATTTTTTTCTTTAAATCATACGATTTCCGTAAATTCGCTCATATATTTACACTTAAATAAAGTTTTAAAAATGACCATTTTAATGAATTCTGTTAAAATATCCAATTATAAAAGTCTGAATTATATGTAAATTATTTCAATTCAGAATTTTAGCAAATATTTTAAATAGGGTCAGTCGGGGTAAATCCGAACGGGGGGTAAATCCGAACGCTAATTATTTCAGCTTAATTAAAATTTTTAAAAATAAGTTCGATATGAGAATTTTTACCTCAGATCCTCTTGAAGAGATTCTAAGTATTATCCCATTTTTTGTTTGTTAATTAGCAACAGCATAAACAAAGATAACAAGTATTGCAAAAAAGATTGAAAATCAAAGATGACACTCTTTCAGTATTTTGTCTCGTATTTGAAGAAAAAGAAGCTAAAAATTCATTTTATTATTTATAATTGTTTGTTATGAATACTAGAACAGAAACTATATTTGATTTTTGCTTTCTGTAAAATTTTATTAATAATATCAGACCGTTCGTATTTACCTAAGAAAATTGGAAAACTGGGGTAAATCCGAACGGTATTTTTAATAATTTTTTTTTACATCAGAGCCACACAAAATTGTTTTTATTTGATTATACTATTATTTTAACATTATAAAAGTACATAGAAAAAAGTTTTTCTTTCTATACGTATCCTCATTAGTAATTAATAAGCAGAAACTTAATTTCTGTTCTCTCGAAGGAGTGTTCCAATTTTTTTGCCAAATGGTTTGTTGAAAAAAGTTTTTCAGGATCTTAATAAAATTTAGTATTCTACGATTTTTGGGGTCGCTAATTACCAATTTGAAGTCAGTTTTTCAAAATTCAAAATGGCGGACGAGAATTAAAAAATTCATTGGATTCGCTCGAAAATTGTTACTCGGGGGGTTTCAGGGTTAGCAAATTTGATCATTTTTAAAAATAAGTTTTAGGAAAGTCCGCCATTTTGAATTTAAAAAATTTGACTTTTTTTTTTGTATTTACATTCAATCACTCCAAAATACTTTCTGTACCAAGTTTTGCAAAAATCCGTTATGATTTGATAAAGTTATTGAAGGTTTTAATTGTGTAATGCATTTTAATTTTTAACCTGTTTGATTTTTGTATTTATATATGATGCATTATTACATAATAGGTTTATTATCGTATTTTTTTGAGTTTTTATATAAGTTTAACAATTGCAATACTTTAAATTTATTTTCCCTAAGATTTTTCTGAAATACAGTGGCGTTCGTATTTACCCCCATATTTTAGGAAAGTTGCAAAGTATCGAGGTAAATACGAACGCTAAGTTTCCTGCGATTGTAATTTATCAAAAAATTTTTCTACCCCATAAAATTGTTCTATGGAAGTAAAG